TCTAGCCAGATTTGTAAGGTAGAATTGGGATCATGATAATGGGGGGTGGGGCAGGAAGAAGCATTTAAGAACTAGAGGAAAGTTGTATAAAGCATGAACTTTTATACAAGCAATGAGCTCTATGGATCTGAAAATAAATAAATGTAATGTAAGAAGTCAGACAAAATGAGTGCATACTGTATGATGCCATTTGTATAAAGCTCTAGAAAAGGAAAAATAGCATCTGGTTATTAGAAAATAGATCCGACATTGCTTGGGAACAGAGTGGGACTGGATGGAGAGACTACCTAGGGTTACCAGAAAATTTGGGCAGTTGGATGCACCCATTATCTTGATTGTAGCGATCATCTTATGGGTACACATATATTTGAAAGCTTATCAAATTGTGCACATCAAATATGTAAGTGCATTGGAAAGAATAATACAAAATGAATATAAATAAGTAACATACAAAGCAGAAGAAAACTAAGACAAAGCCAGAGCCATTACCTTCATATTCTCCAGTTCTTCAAGGTCATCAGTAGGATATTTTGGTAAAGTACCTATTTTAGTCGTAGCTACCGCTGCCGCCATCCCTTGGCAACAACTGGGGGCGGGGGGAAAAGCACACACACAGCATGAGTTATACATTGTTAGCTCCCATTTGTTTAAAATCCAGATGCAGCAGAATTCAACATACTGTTCAGTCCATAATGAAACAAATGTCTCCCAATCTTCCATGCACATGTGTCCTCTCCACTCCTCTCACCCTTACTCATAGGGAACACTAATTTGACATGAAGGGAAAATCGGAGATAAATAACCAGATACTACCTGATGTGAAAACGACTTCTTGCATTCAAAGTAATTATAGTGGCAATGCCATTCTTAGTTGATAAATTACATTATTTTGGCAAAAACTGTCTAGCATTTAGTGTATAAGGTTTTTCTTTTCTTTTTTTCCTTTAGATATTTTGGTTACATTTGGGGAAGGATGAAAAACAGAACATGCACTCAACTTTCATGGAGCCGCACACCACATGCTTCTTCACGACATCCTCCAGGGCAAACAGGACACGATGGAAATTATTTATGCAAGCGTTGTTGGGTTTTTTTTTGAAAAAAAACACTAATTCTTAACCCAGTAGACATTGACAGCTCCCACCCTGCCTTACATTAATTTCAAAATGATCCTAATGCCAGAAATCTTATGTTTTAAATGGGCAGTGTTGAAACTAGTTTAATAATTAGACTAATAATTTATATTATGTTTTGTTTTTTTTCCCCAGCAATCCTTTAGTGCAGCTACTTCATTGCCTTTCTCCATTCTGGTTTATGTTACATTTAATCTTCAAAATGGAAGCGATAAATAATCATATAGTTTTCACCTGTTCAAATAGCTGGAGTATTGGGCCAACTTTTTTGCCAGTTCAATTGCATCTAGCTCTAACTTGGCGATGTTTATATCATGTGTGTCAGTACTTTCCTCCATAGACGGTGGAAGGGTATCTTCATCAGTACAATCAGGAACCAACAGAACCAACAAATTGACCATCCACTGGACCATACGTATGTGCAATTCATCCATCTGTTAAAAACAAAATAACAGCAACAAAGCCAGATAATACCAATGGCCTATTTTCAATAAATCAAACAGTAAAATAATCATAATTTAGAAATAGAAATTTCCATCCTGTGTCTTTCAATAAGATACAGTTCTTCTAAAATTCAATCATCAGCACTCAGCTAGTATACCCACAGTTTCCTTTGTTCATTCCACACTCTCTTCCTCATAATTCAGTCAAGTATATTATCCCAACAAAGCTTGTTTCCAAGTTGTGCACCAGTGCATCCCAGGGTACCACAGTGAACTCCCAAGCATGCC